AAGGAGAGAGTTTCCCATCACAGAAGGTAGGTGATTAGGGCTGGGCAGATTGATTTTGTCTATACATCTACTCCTCACTTATCAACTACCTCATTATCTGACATTTTACACTTAGGACAACAGTAAAAAATCTACTCTATTTTGCATATTAATAACATACCTCTGGCAGTAACCCTTTCATGACCAGTGGGACGTACAGCACCCACCTATGTTTTCTGCCTCTTGGGTCCAGAGGGACGTATGTGTCCCATATAATATTTTGTGATCTGATGTGGTCATCCTCCATTTTCACATAACCACCTGGTCTTTGAAACCTAATCATGTTGATAAGTGAGGAGTGGGGGTATTCCACCCACCCCACTATGCTCTCCCTGGACTCCACTTAGACCACCCTCTTTCTCACCCTCCTTCTCGTCCACAGCCAGTCTGTTGACTACACTCTCTTGGTGTCTCTAGAAGCCCTCCCCTATTCTACTTCCCTAAGACTGCTCCTGGCCCTGGTTGAGGCTTTCCTCATGTGGCTCCCTGCTCTCCCCACCTCTACTCTCTACTCAAGGGACCTCAAATCACTCTCCATGCTCTAACCGGAGTGGCCATCCCACAGCCCAAGTCGGACTCAGGTCCCCACTGCCCAGGATGAAGTCCAAGCTCCTCAGCTCAGCTTCAAGTTTCCAGAGCTCACTTGGCGACACTGTCCCTGCTCCTCACACCTTAGCCACACTGCATCTGAATTACTTTCAGTTCCCAAACACAAGACACATTCTTACACATGTAGTTCCTCCTGCCTTGAGCTTCCCCCTCTGGCATGATGGGCTCATCTTCCAGACATCAGCTCTGGGAAGGGCATGGGCTCAGCTTCGAAGCTTTCCCTGCCCTGGTGGTGTTTCCCTCTGCCTCTGCAGTGATCCCCCTGGGTGGTCTGGGTGTGTTGGCTCCTGTCTGCTCCCTCACCAGCCTGGGAGCCCTTCAAGGAAGTGGGAACCAGATCTGATCCACTGTGACCCAGGGCCCAGCACAGGGCCAGGACCAGAGCAGGTATCAGGGCAGGTTTGTTGATTGAATAAATAATCATTGAATCTCGGACAAGACTGCACAGAACAGGGGAGAGGGCACAGGATGGGGTTCAAGCAGGGGGCAATGAAGGCTGGGCCTTCAGCTCCTCAGCTTGAATAAATCACCTACTCTTCCTGGAGGGGATCAAATAAGCTTAAAACAGTCGTCAAAGGCAAAACATGCCATAGAAATGCCAGAGAGCCTTGACTATCGTTGTCCTGTCTCCTTCAGTGTCTCTGGATGGGAAGTTCCTCCAGGTGTCTGACCTATATCCCTCTTGCTACAGAGAAGCTGGTTTTGACACTGTGCTGCCTCCCACAGATACAAGGTTTTCAGGAGGCCCTGTGGGGACGGCCAGAGAACAATCTTCTGTCGTACCAAGTCCTTAATTGGCAGTATTACAAGAATGAGTCACAGACAACAACCAATTAATTATCCCCAGTTATAAAAAGCTTCACTTCCCCTTCCTCACTGGTGAGTGAGCCGGCCTCCTGCTGCCAGGCTCCTCCACTGCCGGAGCTGGGGCAGGAGAATAGTTATGCCACCTCTCTGGTCCTCCGTTTCCTATTTCCTTATTTGTCAAGTGTGTGTCCTGGGGGAAGGGGGCTGTGGGAGCAAGGGCTAGAGGAGGTTGGAATGTGTCAGGCTAGTAGGAGAGGAAGGAAGTGGGCCAGCTTGGTTGGAGAGGAGGGGGCTCCCTCCCAAGCTCTCTGCCCACCCTCCACCTGCCCCAGGATCCACTTAGGTACTTCAGGGCTAGATCTTAACCAGGGAAACACTGAGCGTTCCTAGCTCAGCATTCAAGGACACTCCTCATCTTGTCCCAAATGCTCCTGGTGCAGTGCTCTTTCTTCTCCATCAGGCAATTTCCCAAGTCTCCCCCGCCTCGCACCTCCTTTCATCTTCTTCCAGCACTGTCTCATTTAAACACACATACTTAAAACACACGTGCTCTCTCCCCCAACCTCCATCCTCCTGAAGCACATGCTACAAACCTATTACAGACTCCCTGGGTGAGGCTCCGTCATAAAATGGGGATAACAATTAACCATGCCCCACAGGGGTGTTTTACCAATTAATGGGGCAATGTCTGTAAACCATTTGGCAAGGCTCCTGGGCACACAGCAGGTACTCAATAAATGTCAACTGTTACTATTACTCTCACACTTCATTTTCCAGTGGGAGGACGAGAGTGAGATGCTTCTGAGACTCACCCACCTGTCCATCACCCCATTTCAGAGATGAAGCCCGGAGAGGCCAGGCTTCACAGAGGAGGGACTTACACACAGGCTTCTCTGAGTTGGGGCATGCAGGTGGGGTTAGAGGCAGGAGTTTCCCCCAAGAGGACCTGAAGGGAGGCAGTGGTGCTGTGGAGCATGGGCAGGGGTCCCCAGATGAGGAGGGGAAGGTGGGAGTGAGGAGAGGTACAAGGCCCACTATTAGACCCTTCTTCCCTTGCAGAGGCCTCTCTCTCCACCCTCCAAGCCCAGAAAGCTCTCCTCTCCTTACTCCAATGGTGTTCCCAGAGCTCACTCTGGGGCCTGTTTGCTCAGCAACATTTATGGAGCACCTACTATGTGCCACCCAGTCTCTGAGACACAAGACCGCTGTTCACTTCACTGAGCCAGGCAGACAGCCCCCCTCACTGTCCTCTTCCAGCTGTCTCGAGAGGAATGGGGAGAGAAGAGGAGAGAGAGAGAGAGGATGAGAGGCTGAGGCATGGAACCCAGGAAGTGGGAGGAGAAAAAGAGTGAGGTAAGGGGTTGGGGGAGGGAGGAGAGGATGCTCATCCTCTGCTGTGAGTTTCGGGGTCACCTGAGGTGAGTTCAGCCCTCTCTGCAGAGGCCCTGCCACCCAGAGCTGCTGCAAAACCCTCTCCCCTCTTCCAGCCAATCTGGCGTGCAGCATCCTGCTGCCTCCTCCAGTCTTTGCCCCAACCCTGGTGACCCTGACCTAGTACCACTCCAGCTCCCAGTCAGCTCAAACCTGGCCTTGGTCCACCACTTCCACTACCCTGGGCCCTGTGCCGGCCCCAGCCAAGAGCCATCACTTCCTGACTCCATGACTTGTGCCTGGCTGACCCAGAGCCCACCAAGGGACTTGAGACATCCTGGGCAATACATCTTCCTCCAGCATCTGCCCCGATGGCCAAGGGCTTTCTGCTTGGAAGCTCAGTCACCTTTCTCCCTTGACCTCAGCCATTTCCCCACCCCCATCCCTGCCGAGAGCACAGACGGTGTTGGACCTCCATCACCTGGGTCCAGATCCTAACTCTGTCCCTCACTAGCATCCCTGGTTTCAGTTTTCCCATCTGTGAAGTGGGGTGATGATGATATCTAGCTCACGGGTTTTTTGGGAGGAACACAGGTAAGAATTCGTGTCAGTGCTCAGCATCTGCCTTTCTGGACACAGGAAGGCCATGGCAGAGTGAGGTCCCGCTGCCTGCCCCTAGTCCCTGGGGAGGGCTTAGCTTGGAGTATAGCAGAGAGGCCAAGGAATTCTGATGTCCTCTAATCTACCCCCTCTCCCATTTCAGAGATGGAGAAACTGAGGCCAGGAATCTGGAATGACTTGTTTGAACGACTTGTTCAAATGACTGGCCGTAGCTAGCACTGTGCCAGTCACTTCATGCTCATGATCTCATGGCCTCCCCACAGCAGCTCTCCGAGGAGGTGTGTGTGTCACAAATGAGGAAATGAAAGCTCAGAGTCAACTAGGTACAAGTGGAAGAGGCACGCTTTGAACTTCAGGTCTGTTTGACTCCAGAGCCCACACCTTTTACCACTGAGGGGAAATTCCACGTCCATGTAAGAGGGAAAAGCTGAAAAATCTGGTTCCTCAGGAGCTGCGCCTGAGGTTGGAGAGACCAGGCTCAGGGAGGGACCTGCTCCATGGCCTCGGGCAGATTCTTTCCTCTGCTTTGCCCTCAGTTTGGCCATGTTGCCTCCTCTGTGCCAGGCCCTGTGCCGGCGGGGATGTGGCTGGTGTGGACCTGGTACCTGCCCTGGTGATACCTGCTTCTCCTGTATGGAGGCCACAAACCCAGTTCCTGACTCAGTATAGGGTTCTCTCCCTCACCACCACAAGCAGAGAAGGAGGATAAACAGGCTGACAACAAGCAGACAGACAAGCAGTCAAGCTTCCCTGACCTCCCCATCCAGATAGCCTGGCCAGCACGTGGCCTCTGACCTCAGCTTCCCTGTCCCCTTGGCCACTCCAGCCTGTTCTGGGGCTGGCTGAATTTGGAAGCTGACTTCTTTGTTCAGACACGCAGGAAAGAGGAGAAAAGTTGTTTTCCAGACAGCAAAGCTTTTAGATAAACATCACAGGAATTAGGTTCCTTCAGAGAAGAAACTAGATCTGCTGGCTGATAGTGCCCCAGGGACAGGAGCACAACTTGGGGTCTGGCCGGGGAGCTGGGCACTGAAGGAGGCTTTATCCATCTGAGCACCTGCTGCCAGCCCTGGCAGACCCGTAGCTCAGGTGACTGGGCCCTGGTGCCAGGCCACAGCGCTGCCAGCTCCCAGGCTCCAGGATGGCCGGGCCCACCTCCTCACCCTCTTCTCCAGCCACCTGCCTGCCTGCCTGCCTGCCTGTCTGGATCTGCCAGGACACTGAGAACTTCTGCTCACCTTGAGGTGACCCCTCCTTCCTGAAGCTCCCCTCCCTGCCCAGACCTCGGGAGCAGCCCAGGCCCCACCCTGTTGGAGGAGAATTCTCAGTGGTCTCTGAGTGCTTCATGGCTACATGCAGGACAGGTGAGCTCCTTTCTTGCCCACCTGGTCAGGTAGATTCAGGAACTTTTATGGGCCCATTTTACAGAGGCAAAAACTAAACCCAGAAGGGGCACTGACCCAGCTGAACCCACAGAGCAAACTCACGCCAGACCCTCATGCTGGCTGGGATGCCCTGGTCCCTCTGACCCTGTCCATCCCAGCGTGGCTCACCAGTGTGGTGTCATCGTGGGAGCGTTGGTAGCGCTTCCAGCGGCAGCCATAGATGCCCGTGAGGCAGGAGAGGCACAGCTGTGGCTCATAGTACTGTAGGGGCTGATGTCTCACCATGCTCGTGCCTGCGGCCCTGGCACCCGGCCCTCATGCATCCATGGAGGCCCCGGCTGGTCCTGTGGGAGGAAACACAGGGCTATGAGGCAAGGGAGGGGTGGGCAGTTGACCCTGGACACAGCAAAAGTCATTGTAGCCTAAGTCAGGGCAGGTCATCCTCTGCTCAAAGCCCCGCAGAGGCTCCTTGTCTCCCTAGGAGTCAAAGTGGTCCCCTGTCGAGGGTCCCTCAGGACCTGTCCCCTGCCCACCCACCCCTACACTCATCCCTCCCCTCCAGCCACATTGATCTCCCTGCTGTTCCTCACACTTGCCTATCACGCTGCTGTTTTCTCTGCCTGGAATGCTCTTCCCTTAGAAACTCATGTGGCTCCCTTCTTCCCTTCCTCAAGTCTTTGCTCAAATGTCCTTTCCTCAGTCAGACTTCCCCAAATCACCTTCTGTAAAACTGCAGTCCTTCCCCACACTCGCTAAGCCATTCTCAGCTTTATTTTCTCAGTCATGTTCTAAAATATCATTTACTTATTTATTTTGTTTTGTTTCTTGTTTGCCTACCCTGCTATAATGTAAGTTTCATGAAGGCAGGGATTTTTGTGTTTTATTCTCTGCTGTATCCCCAGTAGCTAGAACAGCGCCTAGCACACAGCAGACTTTCAAAATAAACATTTTTAGTAAATTATCATAAATTATCATAAAAGCTGACATGTACTGAGCATGTCAAAATATGCCAGGCACTGTGTAAATGCTTCACATTCACTGTTTCATCTCATTGTCACAAACGCCCGTAGTGGCAGGCAACGTGTATTAAACCCATTTGACAGTAGAACAAACTGCGGCTTAGAAAGAGAAAGAGGTTTTTCCTGGCCTGTGGTCACACAGCGGGGTGTGTTCACTCTGGGAATCTGCTCTGGTGCACCAAAGTATCCATTCAGGCACACAGATCACCCAACCTGATGGGGCCTGTGGGCAGCTGGTGGAGCAACAGGAGGTGTCTGGAGGGCTGAGTTGCTGTCGCCAGGAGCAGGGATGCCTAGCCTCTCTTGATACCCTGGGGACGCTTGCTGGGCGATCAGCCTTCTGGGGCCAGTGCTGGCCAAGTGTGGCCAGGTGGCCATTGGCTTGGGGCACCTCACATACCCTGAGTGTCAGGCATCATTTGACCTTTAATGTCAGGAGCCCTGGTGGTGCAATGGTTAAGTGCTTAGCTGCTAACCCAAAGGTTGGTGGCTTGAACCCACTCAGCTGCTCCGCAGAAGAAAGACCGGCCTATCTGCTCACGATCTGCTCCCATAAAGATTACAGCCTAGAAAACCCTATGGGACAGCTCTACTCTGTCACATGGGGTCGCTATAGGGTCAGAATTGACTTGATGGCACCCAACAACAACGACACCACTGTGCGGTAGTTATTATTATTACCATATCATTTTACAGGTGAGCAACCTGGGTCTCAGAGCAGAAAAATGACTTGCCTAAAGATGCACAGCTGTGTGGACTGTCAGGCCTCAACCCCTGGTCTGTGGGACTCCAGAAACTGGAAGCCATGTTCTATATCAGGCCCTGACTTGGGCAACGGAGACAACTGTGAGCAGGACAGACACCATGAGCCTCTCAGGACCCTCATGGTGAACAACCAGGTACTGACTGTGTGCCAGCCACACCCCAAGTGCTTTCCACGCATGAACTATAACAACAACCCTATAAAGAATTGTCATTTTTAACCCAAGATACCATAAAATTCACCCTTTTAAAGTGTACAATTTAGTAGTTTCTAGTATATTACAAAATTATGTAATCATCACAACTATTCAATTCCAGAACATTTTCATCATCCCAACAGAAACTCTGTATACATTAGCAGTCACTTCCCATTTCCCCCAGGTAACCACTAAGCTACTTCCTCTCTCTATGGATTTTCCTATTTTGGACATTTCATATACATGGAATCACACAATACGTTGCCTTTTGTGTCCAGCTTATTTCAATTAGCATAATGTTTTCAAGGTTCATCCATGTTGTAGTGTGTATCAGTACTTCATTCACTTTTATGGCTGAATAATATTCCATTTCAAGACTAGATCTGACACGTTGAACACTAATGACCGAAGACCAGACGACTTGTGGAATGACATCAAAGACATCATACATGAAGAAAGGAAGAGGTCATTAAAAAGACAGGAAAGAAAGAAAAGACCAAAATGGATGTCAGAAGAGACTCTGAAACTTGCTCTTGAATGTTGAGCAGCTAAAGCAAAAGGAAGAAATGATGAGGTAAAAGAACTGAACAGAAGATTTCAAAGGGTGGCTCGAGAAGACAAAGTAAAGTATTACAATGACATGTGCAAAGAGCTGGAGATAGAAAACCAAAAGGGAATAACACGCTTGGCATTTCTCAAGCTGAAAGAACTGAAGAAAAAATTCAAGCCTCAAGTTGCGATAGTGAAGGATTCTATGGGGAAAATATTAAACAACGCAGGAAGCATCTAAAGAAGGTGGAAGGAATACACAGAGCCACTATAACCAAAAAGAATTGGCAGACATTCAACCATTTCAAGAGGTAGCATATGATCAGGAACCAAAGGTACTGAAGGAAGAAGTTCAAGGTGCACTGAAGGCATTGGCAAAAAACAAGTCTCCAGGAATTGACAGAATATCAATTGAGATTTTTCAACAAACGGATGCAGTGCTGGAAGTGCTCACTCATCTATGCCAAGAAATTTGGAAGACAGCTACCTGGCCAACCAACTGGAAGAGATCCATATTTATACCTATTCCCAAGAAAGGTGATCCAACCGAATGTGGAAATTATCAAACAATATCATTAATATCACACGCAAGTAAAATTTTGCTGAAGATCGTTAAAAACGGGTGCAGCAGTATATCAACAGGAAACTGGCAGAAGTTCAGGCCAGATTCAGAAGAGGTCGTGGAACCAGGGATATCATTGCTGGTGTCAGATGGATCCTGGCTGAAAGCAGAGAATACCAGAAAGATGTTTACCTGTGTTTTATTGACTATGCAAAGGCATTCAACTCTGTGGATCATAACGAATTCCAGATAACATTGCAAAGAATGAGAACTCCAGAACACTTAACTGTGCTCATGAGGAAGCTGTACATAGATCAAGAGGCAGTTGTTCAGACAGAACAAGGGATACTGTGTGGTTTAAAGTCAGGAAAGGTGAGCGTCAGGGTTGCATCCTTTCACCATACCTATTCAATCTGTATGCTGCGCACATAATCCGAGAAGCTGGACTATATGAAGAAGAACGGGGCATCAGGATTGGAGGAAGATTCATTAACAACCTGTGTTATGCAGATGACATAACCTTGCTTGCTGAAAGTGAAGAGGACTTGAAGCACTAACTAATGAAGATCAAAGACTACAGCCTTCAGTATGGATTACACTTCAACATAAAGAAAACAAAAATCTTCACGACTGGACCAATAAGCAACATCATGATAAATGGAGAAAAGATTGAAGTTGTCAAAGATTTCATTTTACTTGGATCTGCAATCAACACCCATGAAAGCAGCAGTTGAGAAATCAAAAGACGCACTGCATTGGGCAAATTTGCTGCAAAAGACCTCTTTAAGGTGTTGAAAAGCAAAGGTGTCACCTTGAACACTAAGGTGCGCCTAACCCAAGCCATGGTATTTTCAATTGCATCATATGCATGGGAAAGCTGGACAATGAATAAGGAAGACCGAACAAGAATTGGCGCCTTTGAATTGTGGTGTTGGTGAAGAATATTAAATATACCATGGACTGCCAAAAGAATGAACAAATCTGTCTTAGAAGAAGTATAACCAGAATGCTCCTTAGAAGCAAGGATGGTGAGACTACATCTTATATACTTTGGACATGTTGTCAGGAGGGATCAGTCCCTGGAGGACATCATGCTTGGTAAAGTACAGGGTCAGTGGAAAAGAGGAAGACCCTCAAAGAGATGGATTGACACAGTGGCTGCAACAGTGGGCTCAAGCATAACAACGTTTGTGAGCATGGCGCAGGACCGGGCAGTATTTCGTTCTGTGGTATGTAGGGCCACTATGAGTCGGAATCAACTCGACAGCACCTAACAACAACAATATTCCATTGTATGGATATATTACATTTTGTTTCCCCCATTAATTAGTTGATGGACATTTGGGTTGTTTCCATTTTTTTAGCTATTCTGACTAATACTGCTACGAACATCCATGTACAAGTCTTTGTGGGGATGTGTGTTTTTATTTCTCTTGGGTATATACCTAGGAGTGGAATTGCTGGGTCATGTGGTAATTCTTTATTTAACCTTTTGAGGGACTGCCAAACCATTTTCCAAAGTGGCTACACCATTTTACTTTCCTAAAATATTCTCATTATCCTAGATGAGAAGTCTGAAGCATTGGAAAATGTATTTACTTGCTGAAGGTCACACAGTAGAATCAGAACTAATATTCAGGCAGCCTGGCTCCAGGGACCTTATTCTAAGCCAGAGCTTGGCAAATTTGTGTATGGTTTACAAGCTAAGAATAATTTTTACATTTTTAAATGGTTAGAAAAAAAAAATCAAAGGAAGAGGACTATTTTGTAACACACAAAAATTATACAAAATTCAAATTTCAGAGTCCATAAATAAAGTTTTTATTGGAATGCAGCCACGCTCATTCATTTACATATTGTCTATGGCTGCTTTCACACTACGACAGCAGAGTTGAGTAAGTTACATAGAGACCATGTGGCTTGCAAAGTCTAAAGTATTTACTCCCTGATCCTTGATAGAGAAAGTTTGCTGACCCCTGCAACCACTAAGCTCTAATGGCTTATGAGCCAGTACTCTAAGGGCAGCGTGGGATGGAGGGAGTAAAGGGAGGCTGGGGACACTTAACATGGTGCAGGGAGGTCCAGGGCACGATCCCTGGAGGCAGCCCTGAGCTGAAGTGCCTAAGAGGAACGAGCCCCTAAAAGGCCACTCTCTTAAGTGCCTCAGCAGCTGCACCAGAAAGGCAAACTGGGCTACTTCCCACCTCTTGGCCTCACCCAGGGCCTCTGCCTACAACATCCCCCTCCTCGCCCTC